GCCGGGGGGCACGGGGAGAGCTAGGGGGGTACTGTGGGGCACGGGGGGCACCGGCAGGGCACGGGGAGCGCCAGGGGGGCACGGGGAGCATGGAGAGTGCCAGGGGGCACGGGAGGCAGAGGGGGCACGGGGAGCGCCAGGGGGGCACCCCCGGCCTCACCCCCGCCTCCGCCCCCCCAGACCAAGGACTGGTGGACGTACGAGTTCTGCTACGGGCGGCACATCCAGCAGTACCACCTGGAAGGTGACGCGGGGGGCACCCTGGGGGCACGGCTGGGGGCAGAGGTGCCCGCTGGGCCCGGCCCCACTGTCTGCCCCCTCGGTGCCCGCTGCCCGCAGAGTCCGAGATCAAGGGGGACGTGCTGGTGCTGGGCTATTACCAGGCTGCCTTCGACTGGGACGACGAGACGGCCAAGGTGGGTGTGCCCGGCGCTGGGGACGGGGCGGCGCTGTCCCGTGCCCGCCCTGTGCCACCCTGTGCCCACCTGTGCCCTCCCCTGCCCCGTGCCCACCCGTGCCCACCCGTGCCCACCCGTGCCCCGCAGGCCTCCAAGCAGCACCAGCTGCGGCGCTACCACAGCCAGAGCTACGTGAACGGCTCCCGCTGCGACCTGACCGGCCGCGCCCGCGAGGCCGAGGTCCGGGTAAGGACGGGGGGCACCGATGGGCACCGAGGGGCACCGGGGGGCACCGGGGGCAGCAGAGCCTCAGGCCGGGCCCGTCCCCGCAGTTCCTGTGCGAGGAGGGCGCCGGGGACTACATCGCCCGCGTGGACGAGCCGCAGTCGTGCTGGTACGTGCTGACGGTGCACACCACGCGCATCTGCCACCACCCGTTCCTGCGGCCCGCCCCGGGGCTGGCACCGCAGCCCATCCGCTGCCAGCCCGCCCTCTCGCCCGCCCAGTACGTCCAGTATGTGCGGGCACAAGTCTGTGAGTACCGGGGAGCCCTGGGCCGGGCGCGGGACGCAGGGTGCGGGGCTGGCACAGCCATCGCGGGGCTGGCACTGAGCCCTGCTGCAGGGCTGGCATTGTCCTCTTTAACCTGGCACTGTCCCCTCCAGCCTGGCACTGTCCCCTTCAGCCGAAAGCTGGCACTGTCCTCTTTAACCTGGCCCTGTCCCCTCCAGCCCAAGGCTGGCACTGTCCCCTCCAGCCTGGCATTGTCCCCTTCAGCCTGGGGCTGACACTGCCCTCTTTAACCTGGCCCTGTCCCCTCCAGCCTGGCATTGTCCCCCTCAGTCCAAGGCTGGCACTGTCCTCTTTAACCTGGCCCTCTCCCCTCCAGCCCAAGGCTGGCACTGTCCTCCTCAACCTGACTCTGTGCCTTCCATCCCAAGGCTGGCACTGTCCCCTCCAGCCTGGCCTTGTTCTCTCCATCGCAAGGCTGGCACCATCCTCTTTAGACCTGGGGTTGGCACTGTCCCCTCCATCCCAAGGCTGGCAGTGTCCCTTCCACCCTGCAGCTGGCACTGTCCCCTCCAATGTGGGGCTGGCCCTGTCCCTCCAGCCTGGCATTGTCCCCTTCAGTCCAAGGCTGGCACTGTCCTCCTCAACCTAGGGCTGGCCCTGTCCTCTTTAACCTGGCCCTGTCCTCTCCATCCCAAGGCTGGCCCTGTCCCCTTCCTCCTAGGGCTGGCACTGTCCCCTCCATCCCGGGACTGGCCCTGTCCCCTTCCTCCTAGGGCTGGCACTGTCACCTTCCTGGCTGCGTCCCCTCTGTCCTGGGCGTGACACTGGGGCTGGCACGGTTCCCTCCGTGCCAGGGCTGGCCCTGTCCCCTCCATCCCGGGACTGGCCCTGTCCCCTCCCTCCTAGGGCTGGCACTGTCCCCTCCAGCTTGGGGCTGGCCCTGTCCCTTCCTGGCTGTGTCCCCCGTGTCCTAGGCTGGCACTGGGGCTGGCCCTGTCCCCTCGGCCCCAGGCCTGCCGTGGTTCTGGACTGACCCTGTCCCCCAGCTGTGCTGGCCCTGTCCCCTGTCCCCCAGCTGTGCTGGCCCTGTCCCC